TACTCACTATGTAACGATTACGAAATGCCGACAATTCTTCTCTTTTTTTACCAAGCAATTGTTTAAATGTTAGAATTAATTCTACATATTTTGAGGGACTTGTGTAAATATTTTTGCCAGTGTGAACTTGATATCTGAAATAAGATTAAATTACATAATACAGTAATACCTCGACTTACGCGAACCCGGAGTTACACAATTTTCAAATCTCGCCGATTCGTGTTTTGTTTGAGCGCCACGCAACTCTTGATTACTCACTCCCCCCACACTATTGTTCAGCTTACATATTCGGACGTGTCACACAGAATCGACACATAGCCACAATTTATTTCGTATTATTTATTTCTGTGTCTGTTATATCTACGGAGCCTTCAGAGACTCTATGTGGTGATTTCTTGTAACCGTGAACGAATCAAAAGAAGAGATAAGATTAACGAAAACATTTATTAGCTTATATACATCCGACTTCGATTTTACACGAATTGCGAAATTATACCCCGACTTACGCGAATTTGACTTACGTGGTTATCGCTCGGTCCCACCTATCGCATAAGTTCGGGGTATCACTGTATTAGTAATTAATTTAGAATAATACATAATAATAATGTTTATGAAAACACTTACTGCTCAATAATCTTGTAATAATCTTGATGAAAATATTTGCAAAGTTGCATGCAGGAAGAATATGTTTCTGTTTCTATTTTGACATCTTGTAACAGTTTATCAGTTATTGTTTCAAAAGCATCTTCTGGCCATGTCTTTAAATAGAGATATGAAATATTAAAATAAATATTAAAACTTATAACTTATATTAATATATTTTGAATGTTCATAAAGAATTTTCTATTGTTTTAAACAGAAAGATTGAAAGTTCAATTGTAGAGTGTCTACAAAGTACCTACGCATGAGATTGTTTTCTGTCTCTGAATTTTAGAATATCAAGTTCAATGAATAATTGAATTGGACATGGATCCAATATAGTGTGGCCTCAAAATACAGACTTAATAACTTTTGGCAATTTGCTTTGAGGAAAGAGAACATTTCCCAACTTTGCTTTAAAATAGTTTAAGATATAAAAATTTTTCAGGAATTGTTTTAATGACTTCCAACCATTGGTACGAATAATGATATGTAGAAGAGCATGGAGAAAACTTAAAATGTGTGGAGAATAAAAGGGAACATATGGACAGGACTTGCTCTAGCCACCAGTAAAGTAAGTTTAGAATGGCATATATTCAAAGGCGACAGTTTCTAAAATAATTGTATACAAAAGAAAATTACAATTAAAAATCTTTTTTAAAAAGTGTAAGTTTTAAAAATGTGTTGTTTTCTAATAAAAATAAATACTGTAAATAAAATTTATTTATTTTAAATTTTAATTTTCTGAGCCAATTTTTCAAAATACAGAGGCAACAAACAACTTTGTTTGCTTGGAGCAATAAAAAATGAATCAATCCTTCATATGGATAACATGCATAAAACTTTGTGATCACTGTATAAAAGATAAATGTTTTTACCTGAAACCAATCCATTGTGCAACAATTCACAAGAGAGGGAAACATTCTGAGGTACGTGCGAAATAACTTTGTAGTTACACTCATAGGCATAATTATGTGTAAATTTTGATGTATCCGCTCCGTAAAAAAATTATGCAGAGACGATGCAGTGGAACTGACTTTAAGTCCCTAAAATTTACAATACAAAACTCTTATATATTTATCTCAGAATAATTGTGAAAAATGCAAAAGTAAATTCATGTATTATGATAATTAAAAATTTATAGAATATACAAAGTTTTTAATAATCTCATATCAGTATATACTATCGTATCTCACAGCATAAAAATTCCATTAGCATAAATAATTTAAATAATCCAATAATAAAATTTATTTAAGTAAAGACAGCCACTTTGAAACTCATATACAAAGTTATATATATATAGAGTGTTCTTTTTAGAGGTATACAAATTTAAAATGAAATAAAACATATAAAAATAATGTTAATGGTCATGGTGTTGGCTTTATTTAAAAGATAATTTTATGCCATTAGTGTTTAAACATGATTTTGGGCATATGGGCACCATGGCTGGCTCGAATGAACTGCAATCGGGAAGAACAATTTTCAACCATTTTATCGAGCAACTGGGGCCGTATATTGGCAATAATGCGGCAAATGTTGAGTAACTTACATCCATTAAAAGTCACTATTTGGTGTGCTTTATGAGCAGGTGGAATCATAGGCCCATATTTCTTTAAAGATGATGTCGGCCAGAATGTTACCATCAATGGACAGCACTTTTGGAGCCATGATTGCTGACTTCTTCATTCCTCAGCTGAATGGTATTGATGTGACAGAGCTTTGGTTTCAACAAGATGGTGCAACGTGCCACACAGCGTGTGACACCATCAATTTATTGCAGGAAACATCTGATGAATGCATAATTTCGTGTAATGGACCTGTGAACTGGCCTCCACGATTGTGTGATCTCACACCTATGGATTACTTTCTTTGAGGATATGTGACATCACTAGTCTAGCCAAGAACTTTGGACTCCACCTCTTCCTCCTTTTGATCGTCCGCCTTGCTCAGCGACCTCATCTCATCCACCCCAGGGCCAGACAGACGTCGAAGTTCTCGCCTCTCTGCATCTTCAATGAGAAGAACCTAGTGAAGGACTGTCGATTGTCGATGTAAGCATAAATGTTAACAAATAAACGGCTTTCTTGTGTAAAACACTTGCCATCATTTGCCTCCTCCGTCACAGCCCACATACAACCTTCCCTTAGGTTCATCCTGACGCGGGATTAATAGATCCCACCTAGGAGACGGCAACTTTACACAGGTGCTGTGAAGTGGGTTTCAAGCCCCCTATCTCCAATGGGTCGGCTACCTTACACTTCTGGCCCTGGGGCGGATGAGATGAGGTCGCTGAGCAAGGCGGACAATCGAAAGGAGGAAGCAGCGGAGTCCAAAGTTCTTGGCAATGACACACCACAATATAAGTCATGACCTTTCATGGAATACAGAGGATAGCTTCCCTCGACCTTGAATTTCGGATTTTTATAGTTTTTTCTCCCAATATTTTGACTTCTGATTGGCGCCTTGTCCCCTTCCTCACTTTCCGATTGGTCTCTCTCTTTTGTTTTGGGGAAAACCAAGACTGACTCGGGTCACAGGAAAAGNTATTTATAAAAACACAAATTAAACAAAATATTTATTCAGATTTCATATGTTCAACATTTTAAGTCTTCACTTAATTAACATCATTTCATTATATCATTGAGAAAAGATACAGACAACATACATTTGTAATCATTTATAATTACAACAGTAAAATTTGTTCTGTGAGGTAGGAAGTAAATATTGGAGATTGCAAACATGTTTCAAATTAGAAAAATGTTAACTGAATTATTAATTTATCTTATTATATCAATTAGTCTATGGTAAAATTGATTTCATTACACATCATTTCACTTAATGTTGCAATTTCCAGGAACCTATCAATGATGTTAAGAGAGAACTTGTATTTTTACAAGCATTATATATCATGATCATTCTAGCATTAGTTTTTACATCAAGTACTTTACATTCAAGATTCTATTATATTATTTTTGGAGATACTATCATGTAAAGAATGGCCACAAAACCCCTACACATGTTAGAAGGTATCTGTATATTCCCTCCATAATTTTCACAATTTTTCCCATTTTCTTCTAGATATCTTTTTTGTTGTTGATTGAAAGCCATTAAATAAATTCCTGATAACTATTTTTTAGATCATTGGTTATTGTAAATGGAGTCGAGAAATTTTCTTTCAGAATGTCCCAAAGTAAATTGTCATATATTATAAAGTAGACACTTGCAATAAATCATATCATATTGAATCCATATTTTGATCCATTATCCATTGAAGTTATCATTGAGACATTAACTGGGAGACCTGAGACATAATATCACGCTAAGAGATTTGTGGCACTTATAGAATAGTCATAAAGTCTGCTCCAAAACAATGAATTCAATATTTTTTGAATATGTGTAAAACTTATAATATAAATTAATTCTAGAATTGTACAACTTAATAATATATCAAAATTTTGAATTTTATGAATATTTCAGAAGAGAAAATTAAGTTCCAAATACTTCTCAAGAAATAGGAATTGCCTGATACATTCAAATTGGATACATTCTCACAAATGTAGATGAGAGATTTGAGCCATGCCTAAACAGAAAATATGTATTTCAGATTATCAAACTTAAATAATTACATATTTTTTAAGCACTGTTTTTATAAGATATTATCAATTTATCTTTTTTCTGAATGTAATTCAAAGTACTTTTCTCAGAGTAAAAAATTCTTATTAAACTCTAGTGTTGTTGGACTGTTTGCTTTTCATAAGAGAAGAAACAAAAGAAATTTCTCTAGTTAACTTTTTAAAATTCTTCTCAGAAAAAATGCAGCTTAATTACCTTTTTAACAAATGTGTTGTTTTTTGAAATCAATGATAATATTAATGATATATAATAAATATCTCTTCTTTTTATATGATTCTTAATAGTTAGTTTGAACACAGTTTGGAATTATGTATAAACATCATTTATTCTAAATAAATGATGCCTATAGCTAATTTTAATAATCATAATTTTAGAGCCTCTAAATTACACTCACACTTATCATCAATTTAACTTAGATGACTTTAATATTGTGAGAATATGGGTGAGGGCTAGCCCTCTAGTCATTGAGTAGCAAAACCCACTCACTGGATCATTAGATGGCTTAATAGGAGGGTCTTAAAAAAATCTAGTGGGGAGGTCGTGAGGACGTTGATAGGGTATTGTTACTCTGAGAAAGACAATTTAACAGGTTAACAAAATGAGAACTTTAATAAAACAATAAAGCAAACATACAAACTAGCTGTGGTTACAGTTATAAGGGTAGTATAAGCATACATCTAAGATTCGATATATACTGACTCTATCGTAAATCCAGGTCGCCGAGAGAGAATTTACAACAAGTAGTTAATTATCATACATCTGTCATATCCAGTGATATAATATCTGGCGAGGCTTGGAGATCTCTGCACATAGCATAAAATTTATAAGGATGATCTCTTGGGGACTATGTGGCAGGAAAACTCCCTAATAATATATAATGGTCACATGTCCGTCCTGGATGGTTGGGCGTGTGACCATTATATACTCATCTAGTGTGGGAATTTGGTTTCGTGACTACTTGTTGGCAATGGTGACACCTGCAATGTGTTATCAATGGACAAGGAAGTTTAAACAAAATTGACTCATAGGTCTCCTATTTCTTCCATTTGATTTTAGATTCTCCTTGTGGATGCCATTAACTAACAACTTTCTCATGATTAACAACTGATTGTTTAATATATATCTGAACTGTTTTCCTGTCAATGAGAGGGGAAAGGGACTTCTTGTGAAAAACCCCTCTTTAACACAAGTATCTTAGTTGATTGTTTACTGTTAAAATGAACACCTGCTCATTTTTTTCTAATTACTGTGGGAATGGATGAGTTTCTAAATTAACACATTTTTCGTTAAAATTTTTCAAGAGAATAGCCCTCAGTTCCTCACAATATGAAGCATGCAATACCATAATGTTGTAAATGCCAAAAACACACATGAATTCCTTTAAGTCTTGAAGGAATTCATTTCAACTGTACGATAAAATGGTAAAAAAACTCACTAGGTTACAAATTCTCTGGAATAACAAAATGATGCAAAATAAGCCGTAACGTTTTAAGCACCAAAGTGTAAGTAAGGTGAATTTTAGCACTTAAAACATTATGGCTTGCACATAAATACAACTTCAAAATACAGCTACTTACAGTGCCATTATTGTCACAATATTTTTTTGCAGCAGAAGACATTGCATTCAGAATTCATTTCTTGAATAAAACATAATTAGAGAAAAAATGCCATTTACAATGTTATGGCATTGCAAACGTCATATTAGTTTTATCATAGTTGAAAATATATACATGTAATTTATAGTTAACACATTTTTGTAATGCAGTTCATTAATTATGGACAATTAATTTCCTGACTTTTATAGAATACAACATACTATAGAATATAACATTCCATATTTTACCCCCAGTTTTTTGACATTTTGATACTCAAGAAGTCCAAAAGTGTAAAAAATATCCTTACAAAATAAATTATATCTTTGTGTCTATTTTGCATTATATCTCAGGACTGAATAAACTAAAAATTTTGAAACTTGGCAAGGTTATTTCTGTATATGGAACAATGATGCTATTAAATTTTAGTGGTTAAAAGTCAAAGAGTGAGGAGATAGAAAAAGGTCATGTGTCATAACTCAAGTGGGATCAGACCAAATATGTATACTTAAATTTTATATTCTAGTATAAATGAAAATTATCAGACTTCCTAATGATCTCCTTAACCTCCTGTTCAAGTGCTGGGAAAGTCGAGCGAGAACTCTTGACAGTTTTTGTACAAGTAATTTTTTGGTATAACACACCATAGGGCACCTAGTAACCTAGTAATGAACTTCTTCAGTTCATTACTAGGTGCCCTATGGAATTTTGACTTAGTGTGATACTGTCAAAAAATGAATCTACTGCTCCATTAACTAAAGGCTGCCTGTATAGTGTTATAGAAATACTAATGTAATTGTTTAATAAATACCTTTTTCAAGTCATTTTTCCATTTCAGTTTAGAGTAATTAGATGTCATTTTGATTTCATGAAGATTATAATTTTTAACAAAAGATGACAATCTCACAACACTATGACGTCCACTTCCTCTGACACCTTAAAAGAACTTATATTAAATAGTGAGATAAATTTACTAAAATAAATAATTTTACTCTAATATACTTTACCAATCAAAAGCATATGACCTTTAGTCATTTTCAAAATTCTGCTTATTCTGGAAAAATGTTCTACAATAAATTTAAATATTACTAGATCCATGCGAGTCTTGCTTTCTTTATTGTATTTGTCTATGTATCTTAAATAAAAAATAAATGGTTAAATTATATTGAGTAAATAATATAAAATTTCATATTCTGATAAATAGTGATTAGAAACAGATATAGAAACTGAATTTCAAGATAATGTAGTATCAAAAATAAATATGAACTGTATGAGATATTTCCTATATGGGCATTCTATTTCTATTCTAACTTGACTGTTCAATGGCTGAGGTGGTTAAGGCATCAGCCTACTGCTCTGGGAATCTAGCATGAAAATTTCAACTGCCCAGATTTTATTCTGGATTCCCAGAACAGTAGGAATTTTTTAGGAATTTTTTTAGTAATCCAGGATTTTTCCTCAGGTATATATGTTATCAAATAAACAAAAACGTTTTATGAGTGATATATATAGTTATACAAACCAGTTGTTGAGATGTATATAATAAATGGTTAGTTGAAGCATAAGAGAAGCTGTGTTGGATATTGGCAGGGCCATGCCGTGCTATGATGCAGAGATGCGGCCGCATCAGGTGGCACCGTGAGGGGGTGGCATAAAGAGCATTTAAGGGGCAGAATTTCAAAGACTTGCATCACACTTAGAAAATCTACCGCACGACCCTGGTAAGATACACCAAATAATAAGAATTATAGCCTATATAAGACTAATAATTTATATAAGGGGCGGCATTTCGAAGACTTGCATCACACTTAGAAAATCTACCGCATGGCCCTGGATATTGGCTATGTGAAAATCTTTCCAAGCTAGAGTTTAATGAAACTTTTATTATTTATAATTAAAAAAATTTAAATACTTAAATTTATAATGTTGAAGTAATAAATGCTCTATGTAATTTCATATTCATAATATAATATTTTCACTTCTAGTAGCTAATTATGGAAAGTCAAAATAAAAATATGAAAAAATTTTCTTTATATTTATATTCATTTTTGATGCTAAATTGATGGATAAAGCATAAAAAATTGGCAAGTTAATTGTCACAATGGACACACATTATAATCATAATTTAATAAACTATCCTTTTATTATAATTATTTTTAAAATTTTATAAATAATTAATACTTACTTTTCTAACAGAGAAATAACAGAATGGTCATTTATAACCTCATCATACATCATTTGTTTATTTTCTTTGCTGATATAATCTCCAAATAATAAATTGCTAGAAAAAATACAAAATAATAAAATGTTATTAGACAATTATTTATGTAATACAAAGGATTATTTTATATTTTTTACTTTAGCAAAGGATTTGCTGTTTAAGTTTTTGTCTGTTTGAAAAGTATTCATAAAATAATCAAATATTTTGGAACCTACTTTTTCTAAAGCTCTTTCTGATCTGTAGACACTACGCACTTACAGGGTAAAAAGAGTTAAAAAAAAAAAACCTTTTTTCACATCAATCATGAGTTCATTCTGGTCCATATCAGAGATAAGGAACAGAGATCAACATATCAAGAACAACTCTACTCATGAGGATTTCTGGGATCTAATAATCTGAAGATCTGGCTGAAACCCAAGTTCTTCAGATTGATATCTTTACCATTTCAACTGTCTGCCATTCAGTCATCAGTCATCTGATGTGCAGCTACATGATTTGCATCTAATGCCTCAACCCTATACTGTCCTAGCTATGACCTAATTAAAATTGAAAGATTTATGATTGTTTGGACATCAGAATTTCCCTACCTAGAACATAAGCTGAATATCAGGGAATGCAGGGTACATTATTCATGGTTATCAATCATATATAGTTTTTTTTATTTTAATAACAATTATTTCTTAGAGATCTGAAGTTTATTACATAAAGATCTGATATAAAGTTGATCAACATGGCTTTATGATGAAAAATGAAGCTCTAAAACCTGAACTACAAAAATAAATCTCAAGTGTTCAATTCAAATTGCAATCTCTCACTGGAATAAGAGATATTCTCATAACACAGTCATCCATGTGTTAAGAGAAATATATATATATATATATATATACATAACATTTTGAAAAAAATGAAAAAATTTTTAACTCTATGAAATTACTTTGAATAAAAAATATTACTTTGTATATTATTTAATGAAGACAATTTAAAAATGATATGAATGAATTATAATGTTATATAAAGTAATATTAACTGTAACATTAAGAGTAAAGAGAAATAAAGATATTACAATAGCAGAAAAATTTATGAAGAAATCTTAGAAAAGATGTTATTAATGTTAAAGAGTGGAGACCTACCATCAGTATGGAAGTGGCTAGTAATATAGAAATTGGTGAGACATATATTGGAATATTTCAATCATTATTCAGGCATCATCTAAATTTTCAAACTTTTTATGTAAGGTCATAGTCATAAAACCATTTAAGAATGGTTTGGAAAATGTTTCCTTGTTTAATCAAACTTTTAAGTTATTATCATACATAACAATAAATTATAAAAAAATAAATAATGGATTAATTAATTAATCAATAAATAATTTTAAAAGAAATACAAAATGAAATTGACAAAATCATCTTAAAATATGAAAAGTATATTTTAAAAAAGGGTTCATTAAGTTTATAAAAACAAACTTTTAATATTTTCAATGTAAAATAGACCCCTGATAAATTTCGAAACAGTCTGTTTTATTTACAATATTCAGTCTTATATTTTTAATTGTTAAATTTCAATAATAAAAACTGAAATTGAAGTAAGTTATTTGTTACAAATCGAAATTGGCCCAAATGGTCCTAAATAAAAATGTACTCTATGCCACATTTCACACTTAGAAGTTATTACCAATAATGCGTAATTTTATTTCATTATATAATATGCAGCAGTTCCAGTTTACCAGGGTTTTTAAAAATTTCATATTATAAGCATTTGGGTTGCAGAAACATTGCAAACAAATATATTGGGTTGCATGAGCAAAAAGTTGGATGATGTCCACAATGGGGCAGCCATGACATATCCAGGACAGACTGTCCATGATAAATTCCTGTATGTTGTTTACCAAGATTTTATCTCAGTCCTTTAGAGCTGACTGGGTCCTTGGAACTGCCTTGGTCATCCAGCCATCAACACTGGCATTTTAGTATCAATTATAAATGCCATATAAATTGTCATGTATTTAAAATTTGTTNTCATAAAAGGCATAAAAATGTGTTGTTTTGAAGTAAATATATTCAAAGTAAATTAATTATAATTTAGTCATTAAACTTCTAAAAGCATATGTATTCTTTTCATGTTTCTGTATTGATTTATTACTGTAAATCATATGAGTGTTTGATTCATATCATTATTCTTTTCTTTTTTAATTACTGTAGCTTCAGTAAATGGGTGAATCAAGCATTCAAATGAATAAATAGACTAACCAAAAAAACAGATACATTTATATGAATCTCTGTTTAATTTAAGATTACAGGATCTCCAGAAAATGGTAAATTTCATCTAAAAATCATTTAGTTATTGTGACATCATCACAATGCCAGGCTGTATTTTTAATCATAATTTAATTTTAAAAAGTACAGACCATAAGTTTGTATACAGTTAATCAGAGCTTCCAGCTTTCCATATCTGATCTCAATTTTCATTTATATAACTCTGTTCTCAAGATTAAGGAAGGGCAGACAAACAGACAGATGAATGAGGGATAATAAGTAATCAATAAGTCTGCAATTTAAAAACTGCAGCCCAATAAATAAGATGACCAATCAACATGAAAAACTCAAGTCTTGGTGATATAAAATCAGAAAAGTAGTCTAAATGTTAGCTGAACTATAATAATAATAATTTAAATACAGTACTTCTTATATTAGTTTTATTGAAAAAAGTATAATTAATTTACTGATTAATTAAAATTAAATACTAAAATCTACAGATTAATAGAACTTGCCTATCATCTTCATTAATGAGTTTATCGTGAAATACTCGATACATTTCATGAACCCAAAGACGAATCAATTTATCCGAGTCTTTTAGACAAGAAGAATGAATAAGAAATATCCCTTCAAGAACACGAGAAAATTCTCTTAAATTGAAGACATAATGGCATTTTGTTGGAATGGGTGCAAAACTTTTAATCATAGATAAATAAACTGATTTTGTGGCTGAAATCACAATCTGTAAAATAATAGATCTCATTTAATTATTAAATAATTGTATTTTTTATTCAATACACAAAAAATTACTTACTTTTCCTAGATCTTTTATTTCAGATTTGTATTCATCAAAATGACAATCAATTATTGTGCCAAATATTTTAACTACTTCTTTTTCTTCATATTCGTTGAATGTCAGAATATTCATATGACGAACAAAGCATGATTTAATGTTATTAGAATTTGGATGTAGTGAGTGCATTGCTGATAGCAGATGCTAAAAACATAGAAAATGAAATTAATTAATTGCATATTTAATGTTTGAGTTAAACATAAACAATTAAGTTTTATAGTAAACATTTATAAACTTGTATAATTTGCAAATTGGTGCTCTTTATGATTGTAAAATATGACACTGTAACCTTATGCTTGTAACTGTAACCTTTATGATTGTAAAATATGACACTGTAACCTTAGCTTATGCTGGTTAAGATTACAGTGTTATATTTTGCATTTATAATCTATAATAATAGATGACTGGATGGTCAAAGTAGTTAAGATTATGCCTGTTTTCTAAAAGATCTATGTTGAATCTTTAGAAATTTTAATTAATAGCAAGGGTTAGATATATCAGCGTTGATCTCCCATCATTTGGCTATCTTACTGCAGGTCTAGCTAAACATAAAAGGAGCATAAATAAAAGATTCTTTTAATATACACAAAGAGGGAAGAGTTCAAAATATAAGACAGCCAGAGGGTTAAGATGATAAAGATGCCATTCTGCCTCTTTGAGAGATATAGATTCAAATCCAGGTTGAAATATCAAAAATTTTCATCAGTTTGACCTGGATATTTTGGAGCCTGTCTCTCATCATCCATTGTCCCATTATAGGCTTGGATAAATCTATCAAATGTATTAAAAATTATTCATAAGATAGATAGAATTAAACAAAAGTTTTAGAAATTAATACATTTTTACACTTAAAATAATTCCACTATGACATATTTCATATTCATTTTCTGAAAGAAATTCTTTTTGAATTTAAAAGTGAATATGTGTATGAAAATTTTATATACAGTTAAAGCTGTCTATCTCAAATATGTTTATCTCAAAAACCTCTTTATCTCAAAATTTATTTTCCCTTACACATTCAGCCTAAATTCAATATATTTTCTATGTTTATCTCAAATAATTTTCTCCTGAAACATCTATATCTCACATATGGACTGAAGGGTCAATTACAATTTCAAAGATCGGTGACAACGTTTTGATGCTTCTCAGCTGCAATTTATGCAGTTGAGAAACATCTCTTGCAATATAGTACATATTTGCAATTAATGTTGCTTTTCTCTGATTGGCTACAAGTTTTGCTTGCATCTTATTGGTTGTCTTGCATTTCTGATGCCTGATTTTCTTCGTCAGGCATCAGAAACTATTGACAAACTATTTCTGTTAAAGTATGTCAAAAATCTTTTATTTATACTTAATACAGGTATATACATACTTTCTATTGTATTAATAAAATACTGTACCTCCAATCAAACCAAGAGAAACCAGAAGTTCCTGCAGTGCAGGCACTACTGTTTACTATGCAGGAATCTCTGTATCTCAAAACCTGTTTATCTTGAATTTTTGATCATTTCTATGAGATTCGAGATAGATAGGTTCAATAGTATTATTTCTATAAATTGAACAATTTTTCTGTTCAAGCGAGACAATAAACAATAACATTAAACAAAAGATTTTAATAACAATTTTAATTTTTATCTTGGATTCGTCACC